GCCAGCATGGCTGGCTGGGGAATTCTGGGAGTCGAAGTCCACCCATCTTAAAGTTGCCAAGTTTGAAAAACACTGGTCTTGTTAAACTCTGAAACTCACTGCCACAAACTATAATCGATTCTTGCAATAGCTTCCAACCTGGTTGTTTTGAAAAGCGGATTAGAGAAATTTATTACAAATCAGTAGTTACTAGCCAGCTGCATACTGTTCCCAGTGCCATCGTACAGTATATCATCATATTGGACCTGCATCCTGCTTGCGTGATTCCGGAAGGAACCAGGTTCTCCTTTGTGAATCACAATTTTGCATCACATGAATTCTGGTCTGGTCCATCAGCTTAGGACACCTACCAAGTTGATGTTGGTTGCTTAAGCCAAAAAGGCCACCTCCCTCCCCTTGGTTCAAGGAAAGGTTTCACTTGGTCCATATCAGTGTGGGACCCCTGCTGGCTGGGGAATTCTGGGAGCTGAGTCCACATATCCTAAAATTCCCAAAGTTGAGAAACACCGGTCCATATACTCCATTCCTCTTGGGGTATTTTAACTGGGTATCCATCCAGCAGTAGCTTTTTTTTCCAATGACTCCAGCAACTGGCATTCCAAGGTATACTACCTCTGAAGATGGAGGCTCGCCTCTGCCACCCTGCTTAACAAGCCGCATAACCTTCTGCGCCACCAACCGGTGCCGGGCACGTTTTGCGATTCGCAGCATCGCCCCGCTTAGCGCGAGGGATTTCGGGAGTTGTAGTTCAGCAACGTTCGGACGGCCACGTGTTCGGAACGGGAATGACATGATAGGAATTTGGCCTAACTCGGCGAAGGGGTTAAATGCACGGAGTGTTGACTTCCTAGAGAGGCAGGGAGGGTCACCTCATCTGTTTCCTGCTCCGCCTCCCGTGGGAAAGTAGGGTTTAAATTTCCCAGGCGGTGGATTTGCATCCCTGGTGATATATTTATTTTTCTGTTTTAGGTGGGGTTGGGGGAAAGCCGCGCGCAGCAAAACGAGCGATCTGAACTCCGGAGTTTAGAAAAGCGGGCTTCTGGTTTCGCTTTCTGTTTAAATGCTGGCTGAGTCGGGACGATGCGGGTTGCTGTGTCCTGCAGGCAGAAGCTAAACCGGTGAAGGGACTCTCCAGCAGCGCGTTTCTGTGTTGGGAAAATGAATCTGCTAGGTTTCTGCTGCGAAGCGCACGCGGTGTGCTAAGCCGTGATGTATACTGAACGATCCTTGTTTAGCTGGTTCTACATGACGCGCTAAACTCAAGCCGGATCGTATGGCTCTGCAATGTGCACATTTTGGATTTCTGCATTCTTAGAAAGGATGCCCTTTTTTAACTCTGTGAACTTTTCTACCAGCCCTCCCCATCCTGCTTTGCAGAGGACAAGCTTCTTTTGAACTAGATGTCTTAAATCAGTGTTGTCCAAACTTGGCCACTTTAAGATGAGTGGACTTCAACTCCCAGAATTCCCCAG